GTTGGCATGCAGGGTTGCTGTTTGGGGCTTGTTGCTCAAGGTAATTGTATTCCTCCCAGGAACAGCACCCCACTGGCAGCTTTGTGACCCAAAAAGGGCTTTCGCAGTGACTAATAAAGCTGTAAAGGATGCACCCAGATCCAAGAAAATCCATTCTCTGAAGGAATATGATTTCAATGACTTCTCAGTTGGTGCTTCTTTGCCTTTTAAGCCACAAGCATTAAGATTGTCTGAAATTCCAGTTATCCCATGCTGCGTTCTCCGGAGAAGCCGTAAACCACTGAGTAAATCACCGAGACAATCACAGACACTATTGGTGCCTGGAATGGAGGAGAGGAGCTAATTACCCCAGGGAGTGCATGCATTTCCTACGTGGGCCTCTCCGTGCATCTCAGGATATACATTCTTCCAGCATTTCTGCTGTCTCCAGTTCAGAAGGCCCACAGATCTGCTGGGCTGTCTTTCCCTGCCACTGGCCTAAAACTCCTGTGGCACGCACTATGGTCTGTCTGGCAGAACCTGGGAGCTGCCCCGGCCATTTCCACTCTCCTTCACCCTGAAATCGGTTACCCATCTACTTCATTAATAGTCTCTGAATCCGTCCCCCCAGCCACTGTCCCAGTTGAGGCCCTCCCTACCCTTCCCGCTTCCTGCTGCACCCACGACTCTCTGGTCTTGAGCTTGCCCTCATGCAACGTTCCTCCACTCAGCTGCCAAAATGTAAATCTGATGCCAGCTCTCAGCTTAAATCCTCTAATGCTGCCCCTCCCCACACCCACACACTGTTTTCAGGCTACATGTTCCCAGTATTGCCAGAATTCTGAGTTGTCAAGACAAGCCAGAAATCTGGATTTTTATGTGAATTCCCCCATTTTGTTTAGTTTTAGAGTTATTACATTTTCACATTAAAAACATTATAAAACAGTGTAGTAAGTCCCTCACCCACTCCTGGCCCCAATTCCCTAACTGAAGAGGCCACCTCTGTTACCAGTTGCTTCTGAAGCCTTTTGGACACACACACAAACATACACATACACATTCAGACACACATACACAAACACACACACAATGTTTTTTTCTATACAGAGGGTAGCCAATTTTTTTTATGTTGATTGAAAATTTTTTTATTCTTATGTTAATCCCCATACATTACATCATTAGTTTTAGATGAAGTGTTCCATGATTCATTGTTTGTGCATAACACCCAGTGCTCCATGCAGAATGTGCCCTCCTCAATACCCACCACCAGGCTAACCCATCCTCCCACCCCCCTCCCCTCTAGAACCCTCAGTTTGTTTTTCAGAGTCCATCGTCTCTCATGTTGATAGAAAATTTTAAAACTCTGAGGGTCAAACAAGACACATTTGCATCCATGGGTTATAAATTATGTAGGCATGTGCTTATGACCCACTTGACTGAAAGTTCCCTAAAGACAGGGGTGGAGCTTTGTCTTGGCATCCCCCTCTATAGCTGGCATGACGCCTTGCACACAGCTGGCACTCAATGAGTGCCCATCCATTTGCACATTTATTAAGCACCACTCTGTGCCTACTGTTGGGCTTGCCACAGATCTCCAGGTGAACTGTGGCATGAGCACTTTCGGAGGAAACATGACAGCGGTGAGTTAAGTCTAGGTAAGTTACAGCCCTGGGGAAACAACCAGAACTCAGCTGGCTCTAGGTTCACAGCTGCCCCCCTCCCATTTTCCCTGGTTATGAGCCTGCAACAAATGGGCAGAAAGAGCAGATCACGTCCCCCTCGCAGGCTTGCCCTGGCGGGGCTTCTGCTTGTGCTAACACCAGTGTTCCCAAGCCGGCGCTCATTCCCAGGAGTGGTGATTCCATTTTTTGCCCTGCACCAGATCAAGGCAAGCCGGGACGGGACAGAAACCACAGGCCCGGGCAGTTTGCTGACTCCTCCTGGGGCGCAGGGCTTGGCTGGGAGGGCCGCTGGAGTGACTAAGGCCTTTTCAAGCTTCTTCATGTTGGGAGAAGACTCACTGCTCACGTGGTTTGGGGCCCTTCTCCTAAGTTAGGTCCTATTTGCTAGGTGATCCCTGACCAGCTGGCTTGCATGATGGTCACAGGACAAGGTAATATTCTCAGTTCATGATGAGGTGAGCCCCGCTGAGGATATGTAACAAACGCTTACCACAGTTTCCCTCCCCGATCCTTGGAGAAGGTTGCCGATTATTTCTGCAGTGACACAGGACAGGTGGTTCTCATAGGGAGCACACTTCTGTGGAGGGGCCATAAGCAATTCCCCTGGAACGGTACTGTGGCGTCCTCTCTTTCTCTCCCATTCAAGAGACCATTCGGGAATGTAAGTGGGTGGGAGCATGAATTTGTTCTAAGAGTCACCTTGAATATATTCTAATTGTAGAGTTATATGAATCTTACTGCCAAAACTCATGTAAGTGAGACTTGTCATATTCCTTTCTTTATTTCAAGTTACCTTGAGCTTGGAGACCTCACCCTCTGGGCAGGCAGGAAAATAATACTGTTGGTAGCAGGTGGGGCAGGCTCTCTCTCTCCCTGGGGATGCATGAAAATCCAGGAGGTTACATAGCCCTGGAAAATGGAGACGAGTCCACTCTTCTCCTGAGGCCAAGTCTTCTGCTGATATTCCCGGGCTGTGTCTGCAGAGGAGGAGGCTGGCATGGCTTCTGTTCCAAGCTTGGGAATCTTGGCGAAAGCTGGGAATCCTAGGCCAAGTCTCTAAGCCTCGGGAAGACACCACAAAGCTCTCCATGGAAGACCTGTCATCTTGCCCACCTGCCTCAGGCACCGTAGGGAGCACATTCCGGTCTGCAGTGCCTGGAGTCCACTAATCTCCAATCCCTCCTAGGCTCCAGGCTTCCAGAAAACATAAGCCAGGTTGTCTGCACAAACAACTTCTGCATTTGGCCCCCAAACCAACCTCCCCGAGGCAGGGCTGGCTTCCTGCTCAGAAAGAAGAAATAAAATACAGGAAAAACAAACCCCTGTGCTAAGAGTTCTGCCACCTAATTTATATTAGAATAAACTGATCATTCACAGATCTGTGTCCGTGACAAAATTCTGCACTCATCAGGAGTCAGCCGTGCCGCAATCAGAGCTCATGTGGTGCCGCCATGGCTTTGTTCTAAAGTAGAGCACAAAAAAAAATGGAAGGATATTTTGTCCTCACCCCTGCTTTCTTTCCCCCATTCACTGATTGTCCTGAGAACGAAAACATAAAAGCCCTTCTCCCTGAGGAAGCAATTTCTAGGCAAGAAGATTATCAAAAGGGTTGCTGCCCAGTGCCCCCATTAATTGTACCAAATCCGGTCAATTATGAAAATACAAGCATCACCTTATTACGATAATTATGCAATGCTGATTAAAGTGGAAGTGGTATTAAAACTATTTCTTTTCCTAAAACTGTCTTCTCCACTTAACTAGCACTTTCTTAAAAACGATCTTAGTTTTCAAGTTAATCTAGTGTCCATGAGCCAGAGCTGAAGAGCCTCTGGTCTATGAGAGGTCTGCATTGATAATACGGCGACTGGTTTCAAAAAGATTGCGGCCTTCGTGTATTAGTATATGTTACATCTGGGCAGGCATGGGACCCAAGCACTTGAAGTAGAAAAATGGGAACCTTGAGGTTTGAGTTCTTCGGGATGTTTATTCCAGCTGTGCATTGATTGGGAGCTCAGCAGCAGGCCTCTGGGCTAATACCTGTAGCTGATACCACCGCAGAACATAGGACCAGGACCATTCTCAGCCTCTTCTGCAATCAATGATTACTTCCCAGGGCAAAGTTGCATCTGTCTTGAGGTTGCCTATCAACACCACTCATACGTAAAAAAATATAAACGCAAAGGAAACCCGGAAATCATTTTTACCTCTCAGATGGTTGGGTGATTAAAACCACAGATAGTACAAATTATAGATGAGCCTTTAGGCAAACAGTAGACTCATAAATCATTGATAGGAGTATAAATGGATCAGTCTTTCCAGTGAGTAATGTGTCAATGTCTATTCGAATTCTTAAATGCTCATGCCCTCTTTCCTGGTAGTTGCACTGCGAAAAATTTACCATACAAATACACTTGCAAATGTATGGCAAGAAAGGAAAAATGTACAAGGATGTTTCCTGCAGCATTGGTGGCAACAGACACAAACCGGAAACCAGTTAAACGTTTCTCAATAGCAATATGGTTAAATACATTAAGGGACAGCCACACGAGGGAGTTTTGTGACCATTTAAAAGGATGTGGTCAGGGGCGCCTGTGTGGCTTAGTTGGTGAAGCACGCTATTCTTTTTTTTTTTTTTTTTAAGATTTTATTTATTTATTTGAGAGAGAGAATGAGAGACAGCACAAGAGGGAAGAGGGTCAGAGGGAGAAGCAGACCCCCTGCTGAGCAGGGAGCCCGATGCGGGACCCGATCCCGGGACTCCAGGATCATGACCTGAGCCGAAGGCAGTCGCTTAACCAACTGAGCCACTCAGGTGCCCAAAGCACGCTATTCTTGATTCCAGCTCAGGGTCATGAGACAGAGCCCTGCTTTGGGCTCCGAGTTCAGCAGGGAGTTTGCTAGAGGTTCTCTCTTTCCCTCTGCCCCTCCACCTGCTCACATGCTTCCTCTCTCTCTCAAAAAAATAAATAAAATCTTAAGAAAAAGGATGTGGTCAAACACTGTTTTGATGACTATAACTTTGTAATATACAGTTGGCCCTTGAATAACAGGGGTCTGAACGATACAGTTCCACTTATACACAGAGTTTTTTTGATAAATGCAGTACTATAAATTTATGTTCTCATCCTTATGATATTTAATAACATTTTTTCCCTCTAGTTTACTTTTTGTTAAGAATACCATATATAGGGCGCCTGGGTGGCTCAGTTGGTTAAGCGACTGCCTTCGGCTCAGGTCATGATTCTGGAGTCCCGGGATTGAGTCCCGCATCGGGCTCCCTGCTCGGCGGGGAGTCTGCTTCTCCCTCTGACCCTCCCCCCTCTCATGCTCTTTCTATCTCATTCTCTCAAATAAATAAATAAAATCTTTAAAAAATGAAAATTAAAAATGAAAATTAAAAAAAAGAATACCATATATAATATATATAACACACAACATATGTGTTAATTGACTTTATGTTATTGGTAGGGCTTCCAGTCAACAGTAGGCTATTAGTAGTTACATTTCGGGGGAGCCCGAACTTCCACCTGAATTTTGACTGCACGGGGCATTAGGACCCCTAACCTCTGTGTTGTTCAAGGGCCACTTGCAGGTTAAAATCAGGAAATGTGATGCCTGTGACTTTGTTCTTCTTTTTCAAGACTGCTTTGGCTGTCTGGGGTCTTTTGTGGTCCCATACAAATTTTATGATTGGTTTTTCTATTTCTGTAAAGCAGGTCATTGGAATTTTGATAAAGATTGCTTTGGGTGGTAGAGGCATTTTAACAGTATTAATGCTTCTAATCCCTGAACATGGAATATCTTTCCATTTCTTTGTGCCCACTCGAATTCCTTTGATCCATGTCTTATACATTTCAGTGTACAGATCTTTTACCTTCCTGTTTAAATTTATTCCTACGTATTTTATTGTTTCTGATGCTATTTTAAATGAGTTTGTTTTCTTAGCTGCATTTTAAAACAGCTTGTTAGTATACAGAAATGCAACTGATTTTTTTTTTTACAACTGAAAAATAAATAAAAGAATGTGGTCAATCTTGCACGCTAAAGTAGAAAGAAACCTTGAATATACAGAAATAAATAGAAAAACCAGGATACATATAAAATGCTGATATATTTTTTTCTGGAAAGATAAGCAAAATATTAACATGGTTATTTTTCTAAAAATATGCATATAATCTAAAAAAAAAGAGACTACCTGGGAAGTGGTAGACCATTTCCCCCCATTCTTTGTACTTACTGATAAGCAAAAAAAAAAAAAATTTTTTTTTCTTGTTTTTTTTTAAAGAATGAGGCTAGGGGCTCCTGGGTGGCTCAGTTGGTTAGGCATCTTGCCTTCGGCTCAGGTCATGATCCCGGAGTCCTGGGATGGAGCCCCGCATCAGACTCCCTGCTCAGCGGGGAGTCTGCTTCTCCCCCTCCCTCTGCCTGCCGCGCCCCCTGCTTGTGCTCTCTCTCACTGTCAAAGAAATAAAATCTTAAAAAAAATGAATGAGGCTATATGTGTATAAAAGCTGAAACGTGTCTGTGAGAGATTGTGCTTTCCAAAAATGCCCAGGACAATATTCCTGGTTTTACATGCCCTTCTAGAATCTTGTTACTCCCCATCAGGAGGTGGCTTATTCACTCCTCTGGAAACTGGGTGGGCCTTTGACAGCTTTGGCAATAAGAACACCATGGGAGTGACACTGCGGCTTCTGGGGCTATGCTCAGAATGGCCATACGGCTTCCGTGAAGGTTGTGAAGGTTGTGCTCTCTCTTGGGATGCCTGCCCTTGGAACTCAGGCACCATTCCACCAGGAACCCCAAGCCAGCTCACAGTTCAGGGGTTTGGAGTATATTCGCAGTTGTGCAAACATCACCACTAATTCCAGAACAATTCCATCAGCCCAAAAGGAAACCCTGTCCTATCCAATCCCCTCCTTCCCTCATGCCCTGGCAACCACTATCTATTTTTTTCTCTATGGCTGTGCCTATTCTAGACACTCCATATAAATGGAATCATACAGTATGTGGCCTCTTGTATCTGGCATCTTTCACTTAGCATAACGTTTTCAAGGTTCATCCGTGGAGTATGTATCAGTATTCCATTCCTTTGTGTGGCTGAACAATATTCCATCGTATGGATGCACATTTGCTTATCTATTCATCCCTTCATGGACATTTGGGTTGTTTTCACTTTTTGGTTATTAGGAATGAGTGTTGTCAACAGTGACATAGAATTTTTTGTGTGGACATGTTCTCAAAGCTCAAGTACTTTAAAATCACCTATTAATATTGAACAGCACATACCACATAATAATTAAATGATACATAATTAAAATAATTCTTATTCATTAAAACAGGTTTTCTAAGAGCAGCCATCCTGTTCCCTCATAGTAATTCAGATGTCACACGGAACACTGCATAGACTTAAAGTAATAACATAGCACTATTTCCAGATTTTTCACTAATTTACATAAACCTTTCACCAAATCAGTCTGAGTTAATGACATGCTACTTTACTATCTAAAAGAAAAAGCTATTATGTGGTCTTCAAAATTCCTCTCTTTATGTCCCAAGATGAAAACCTAGCACTTTAATTTGACACACACGGAAAGACTTCGGTCTCTTCAGGAATTTGGGGTCTGATTTAGAGTTCTTGTGAACACAGCCTTGTGCTGTGACTTATCTGTCTGGGTTTATTTAATAGGAGTTCAATAAAAATAGGCTGTATTTAAAACTAAATCCTGCACTATATAAAAACTCACTTGTGTGGGAGTTCAGGCTTGCATTTAGAGGAGACTGTCATGCGAATATGAACTCGATTGCAAGGTTCTTCATCCATGGGCACCGTTTCCCTTTGGGATGGTCCCACTCTCCTCCCGGCGCCTGCTGCTGGCTTCCCAAGCAAGCCTCATCCCGGTCATTCGGAGTCTGCCCATATGCTTCACATTAATCTAGTCAGGAAACAATGAGATGCTTCTCTGGGGAACTGCTGTAGCGGCCACTTGTAGAGGGGAAACCACACTATTAAGAAAGTGTGGACGCTTTCCCCGACGGAAAATTACAAGTTTGCTTGGTTTCAATCGTTGGCACCACATCTTGGGTTCCTCATCACTGAATAGACTTCTTTCCACTTGGCTTTCTCTCGGCCAGTGTCCTGGCACACTATCAGAGGGGAAAATAATTAGAAAGAAGTGTCTTTTAGGGATGAGAAGCACTGGTGGTTTACCAGATGGAGAGAATCACAGAGCTTCAAACAAACCCCGACAAGACAGTAGCACTATTTGTCTTCCTGCTTCCATAAACTATATGCAGTGTTCATGCCTCCTGAAATGTGCACACTAAGAGCCAGGATGTTGGCTCAGATTCCCTCTTCTTCAGGGGAAGCCTTTGGTGGCTCTTTAGCGCATGAGCAATGACCCAACTATAGTTAGCCCCAGATAATTTTCCAAGGGCTCCCCTCATCTTCTCAGAGTTCTTATGTTGCTATGGGGTATAAGGTCCATCTTATTTTCGGTTTGCTCATCATTCAGGTTGTGTGAGTGTGGGATGGGGAGTGAGAAACAGCTTTATTATTTTTGTAGAAACGATACTTGCTAATTGTAAAAATATCAAATAGAGATATGTAGCTTTTTAAAAAGCATCTGATAGCTCACCTTTCAGGAGTAACAAGTGGGTCACTTTGGTTTTTCTAGTAATCTCTGCTTGATATATATGTATGTATATATATATATATATATATATATATATAAAATTATTCATACAGCATTTCTCAAATGTTCTTGGGAACATGGTGTTATTTGTGATCAACCAGAAGCTTACCATGAGACAAGGACTGGCAAGGAAGCAATTCATCTGGGAGGTGCAGCAAATACTAATGGGGAGTGGGTAAGACAGGGAGGGTAGGGCAGCCAATTAAGAGTGGCTGTCAAGTTAGCTGCTACTGTGGGTGGATGGAGATTAATCCCACAGAGAAACTCTGGAAAATGGTGTAGAACACGTGCCTCAGAGACCTCATTTGAAGGGCAAGGGAGCTGGGGTATTTATATCCCAGGTCCCACTGGGTGAGGCTGCTCCCAGTGGGTTTAATTCTGAGCACTTCCAGCCTGAACAGCCTTCCAAGACATTGGAGAAAGCCCCCAGGAAAGAAAGGAAGATCCTTGCAGGTAGAGGGCAGCCAGGCACATACACAGGAGCGGTATGGCTGGAAAGATATGCCAGGCACTGCTCTAGATGCAGGGGACACAGCAGGAAACACAACAGAGGGGGTCCTGCCCTCACGGAGCATTTCTTCTATTGGGGAGACAGATAATAAACAAAGCAAGGAAGAACTATGTGGAATGTGTTGCATGGTGACAAGTACTGTGGAGAAAAGTTAAGTACTGAAGAGTCCTGGGAAGGATGGAGAAGGGGTTGGTTCTACTTAGCAAAAGAGGGATCGGGGCAGGCCTTAGCAAGAGGGTGACGCTCAAGTGAAGACCCACAGGAGGGGAGAATCTGGCTTCAGTTGAACAGATCGCTCTGGCGGACGTGTGGAGAACGAAGTGACGAGGGGCCGGGGCGGGAGTTGAGTCAGGAGGCAACTGTAATACTCCAAGTGGTAGAGCAGCAGTGAGGAGAAGTTAGATTCTAGAAGTATCTAGAAGGTAGAGAGAAGGTGACTGGTGGACAGGTGGGATGTGGAGTGTTTGACCTGCACAACTGGAAAGATGGGGCTGCCATCTTCTGAATCAGGAAAATCTTCAGAAGGAGCAAGTCCTCAGGCAGGGGTGACTAGGCACATGGTTGTGGGCACGTGGGTGGGCTCTTTCAGACACCGAAGCGGAGAGGTCGGTGGGAAGCTGCGCACGTGGGGGCCTGGATAAAACGCGGTGGGTCTGTCAGCCTATGTACGGTCTGAGCCACGCTACCGGTGAAGATGTCCAAGGGAGTCGCTGCACAGGAACGAGGGCCGAGACTGAACCCCAAGCCCTCAGGGAGACAGAAGACCAGAAAAAGGAGATGGGGAAAGAGCACCCAGGGTGTGGTGTCCCAAAAGCCAAGTGCAGAAAGTATTTCTAGAAGGGGGGAGTGATCAACTGTGTGTAGGTGTATCCACGCGCCACATCTATAGCGATGTACATGCAGAAACTCTCTCTCGATACACACTTACAAGGCGTTTTAGATCACTAGTATACTATATAAACAGATCTGTAACTCCGTTTTCTTGGGAAGAGTGTTCCATAGCAAGAGTATCTGTCTACTCCGTCTTTTAATAGTTGCACAGTATTTTACTGTGTACGTGTATCATAATGAATTTTTCCTCATGGGTAACTATTTTTCCCAATTATAGAACTCTAAATTACGCAGCAATGGGAATCTTGTATCCATCCTTTCACAATGGGAATCTTGTATCCATCCTTTCACACCTGTCTGATCATCTCCTTGGGATAAACCCTGGAAGTGGGGTTGCTGATTCAAGACTCCTTCCTGGGCAGCCCTATAACTCAAGAAGTATTCAGTAAGGAACATCTGCTCCTACCAAGGAAGACAGCTGGGGTGTTATTCCAGGTAGACCCCGTGCCACGGGGACGCATCTGAATGCATGGAGGACACCGGGCAGCCATCTGGATAAACGGCTGTTAGAAATAGGGCAGATGTCTGAATCAAGGCAGGAAAGTCCACGACAGGAAGCAATCTGTTGGTACTAGCTCTCAGCCTGACATATGAAACTGCAGCCAAATTCTAAGTATAAAAAGCCACTCCGTTTCCACACAGAGCAGAACTCGAGGCCTGCAGGCTCTCCAGCAGAGCCACTGAGAGCTTATTACGTCAAGAGCAAATGTAGCAGACGGAGGCAGATGTGCCTTTTTGAAATGACTGTAATTAACTCCAAATCTTTCCACATACTTTATTTTGCTGGCTGGATTTGTCATTTAGCTGTTAGAACAAGCCTACCACATACCTCAGGTTTTTTCCCTTTACCTTGCCATTCCTGGCAACAGCATGACTCCATCACCTGTCCGGGCAAATACAGAGTCTTTGCCTGGATGGGGTCAGAATGCCCTGCACATTCAGTGGTAACCTTGAAAATAATGTCTACCAGCCAGGCAATTGGCTGAGAGCCTCCAAGGACTTCAGGGCATTAAAGGACAATGTCTTTAGTCACGTATGTCAAGTGTAGGGAAATGTACTGAGACAACTCTTAGTTCATAAGGAAAAGAAGGAAAGGGACGCCCGGGTGGCTCAGTCGGTTAAGCGGCTGCCTTCGGCTCGGGTCATGACCCCAGGGTCCTGGGATTGAGCCCCAAGTGGGGAATCCCTGCTCAGCGGGGAGTCTGCTTCTCTCTCTCCCTCTGCCTGCCACTCTGCCTACTTGTGCTCTGTCAGGTAAATAAATAAAATCTTTAAAAAAAAAAAAAAGGAAAGGAAAATGACCAACACAGAGCCATGCCTTGGATCCATTTATTCCCATCTCTGGGTGGGTCTGTAAACAACATTCATCCCAGGACTCAGGACCCACCTCTGGTACTTGATCCGTGGAAATCATAGGTGAGTAATACTCATCCAAGGAGGAGTTCTTAACACTAGGTTCTTAACCACTGAAAGAGGCCTACAAGAACATACGCAATAGTCTGAAGTTTTCAAATGTTTTAGGTCTGTGTGATCTGGCTAGATGCTCTTCACTTCACTTTACCATGTGACATCCCTTTACCGTGACAGAGCCTCAAGCCACATACACACCAATTCAGCCACCAACAGTGTTCCCTCCCTTCTGCTCTAAGAGCAAGGCCCGGTCCAGGCAGGAGGTCAACAGGGAGGGTTTTCTTCTTCTATGTCATGGCTGAGATAAATTACTTTATCCCATGGATACAGCAGCTAGAGGGCAGCCTGCAGAATTTATGCCGAATTCCATGCCTTACATGACCATATTTCACAGTTTATTACGAGATCACTGACACCAGACCTATAAGCCTCTGCGTGATGCTTCAGATCTGAGCCTGGGAGCGCCCAGCACCTGCTCGTTGTCTTCCTTGGCCCGGGCCGCCCACACCATCGGCAGGCCTCTGCTCAGAACACCGTGTAGTAGTGCTCAGTGGTGCTGACGATGTCACTCTGGTCCTCCAGGAGCTCCAGCACCTGCTGCAGCACACGTTCACTCAGGTCTGGGCTGACACTTAGGCGAGCACAGGCCAAGATGTGCTGAAAGTGGCAGCCCTTCTCTGCATCTGCTGGAAAAAGGCAGTTGGCTAAGCTCGGCACACCTGTCAGACCCTCCCCCCCCTCCGCGGCCCTGCCCCTGCATTTTCACAAGATCCGCTGGTGATTCTTAAGCTCGGTAAAGTTGGAGATGCACTGGTTTAGACTGCCAGCAGAAACAAAACAAAAGCCCTGTTCTCAGGCCCCTTATTTCGCCACATGACGTGGACCCGCTGCTCAGGAACTCAGGCCTTCAATCTTCAAGGGCTGCTAATCGATAATTGATTATCTGTAACTGAGTGGATTTTTTAAATCTTTTTTCTCTAGTGCAGGTACGTGTACAAGTGCTCCTATTCAGAGCCGAGCCCATAGCTTTCCAGGTGGGAGCCCTCCTGAGACTGAGAGAGGAGCTGGTTTACGGCAGCCTCCGGATTCTTTCCCGTTAAGTCCTGACTGACCTAACAGCCTAGACAAGGGATTCTGACCACAGATCTGTTCTCATTCTTCTCTGCCTGGGCTTCCAAGCAGTCCTGTCTATGATGGTTGCGTTCTAGAAATCTCTTATCCTCCACCCCAAAAAACCCAAGACCATTTGGTATACAATGATAAAAGTTCACGGTTAGCAACCTCTTTCCTAGTTCAAACCAATGATTTAGAGTAGTGGAATGCACGGTGCTGTTCTGACCACTACGGAGGGTCATGAAATCAACATAATGGGCTGTGATTAGCAATTGTTTCCTTACCAACAGATTAAGAAAGACTGGAATAGGAAATTACAAAATGCACTGCATTATATAATGCGTATTATTTTGTGAAACTTTTAATATATATAAATATTCATACATACTTAAAAAATGTATATTTATATATATAAAATACATTTGATATGTGTATGTACATATATATGTAAATATAATGTACTGGGTCATGATGTAAAATGCATTTGTAACTCTGAGTCAAAGTCAAACCTCATTACTGAAAACAAA